AAAAAGCACATAAGCGAAAATTAGGATCGGGATATCCCATATAAATCCCCTTATAATGAAGCCGTAGGGATATCCCTACACAATGCTTATGCTTATGTCCCTTTGGGGTTCCTAAATCATATGCACCGGCAGATTAGCCTCGGGGGCCTTCGGTTCACGTGAAGCGAAAATGGAAACGTGGGACATTACGCTTTAGGTTTAGGGTTATGTCCGACTCAATAGTGCTAATCCTAGAAAGCCTCCAAAACCCAAATTTAGGAGACAAACTAGGACAAATAGGAATTCCAGGTTTGCAGGGACTACGAAAAAAAGGGTAACTTCGAAACACAGGAGAAAAATAGGAATAACATAGGAATAAAATAGGAGAAACATAGGAATAAAATAGGGAAACATAGGAGAAAAATGGAATACAATGGGGAGTAAACTAGGGGAAAAATAGGAAATGTGAGGAAAACACTAGGAAAATATGAAAAATGCAGGCCCGCAGGGTAGAAAGGAGCGCAGGAAGAGCGGGTCGGGGTTCCTATGTTCCTCCTATTTTTCTCTTGTTTTATTTCTATTTCCGGAAATCCAGGATTCCTATTTTCTCCCATGTTTATCCTCTTTTGTGCCATTTGCGATCTGAGTAGAGTTAGCACAAGAGTCGGACATGAGTTTAGGGTTTAGGGCATTCATCCTGACTTGTGACAGCGCTGGTTTTGGCGAAGCGGGACTGTCACATGGAATTCTGGGGCTTGCTTTCCCGGCAAGAAGAAGCCCCAAAAGATGTGGGGGTTGGGTACTCATGATACCAAACCCGAAATCCTGAACCTCTGCTACTGATACAGGCAGTCTGAACCCCAGCCTCTACTAAAATCCTACAAGCCGCAAACCTACTAACTCCTCGCTTGTAACATTCGTAGAGACCCTTGTGAAGGATCCCTACAACCCTTGTGAAGGAGTCCTTCAAAGCAGACCTTATAGAGTTTAGGGTTCAGGGAGGTTTTAGGGCTCAGGGGTTTAGGGAGGGGTTTAGGGTTGGTTGGGTCCTTTAAAGCAAAGCTGACAGGACCCCTTCTGTTGTAATCCCCCACGGCTAAACCCAAACCCCCAAACCCTGAAACACTTAACCCCTCAACCCTGAACCTTTAATTTGTCCCTTGCCCTTGTGATCTCTGTCTTCAAACCCTAAGCCCTAACCCCCAAACCCTTAACCCCGAACCCCTTTTTTGAACCCCTAAACAACCCTACACCCTAACCCCCAAACCCTGAAACACTTAACCCCTCAACCCTGAACCTCTAAACAACCCTAAACCAAGTGGTCACTAAACCCTAAACTCTGAACCTCTAAACATCTAAACCCTAAACCCTGAATCCTGAACCCTAACCTGTAAACCCTAAACCTCAATCCCTAAACCCTAAACCACTGAACCCCTAAACCCTAAACCCCTAAACCCTAAACCCCTAAAAACCCTAAACCCTAAACCCCTAAAAACCCTAAACCCCTAAACCCTAAACCTTAAACCCCCAAACCCGAAGGGCGCCCG